CTCGCTTTGCTGGCGCTGCACGCCGTCGCTTCACACAACCGAGGGACAGATAAACGGCGGGCCGTTTGCAATAAGGGTCTCTCGCCCTGGCGTCGTGCATGCTCGGCTGCCAGATTGTCCGCAGCTGCGCGAGTGTATGGCGAGTCGTTTTCAGGACGGTGGGGATATTGGACACGGAACCCTTACATGTAATTCGGGCGTGTCCCTCTACAGGAAAAATCTGCAACAATTGTCAAAAAATGGTAGGGGGCGATTTTTTTTAACCATCTTGTGTATGTTCCGCATATTTTCTGACGATTTTTGATGTTTCGTGCAAAATCCGCCTGTGGGGGGACATGCCCGCCCTAACCCTAGATCGGCTGTGGGGGGGTGACGTCGCAGTTGAATGAAAACCCCCCCGCCGGGCTCTCGTTCCGTTTCAAGGCTTCGTGCCGTGCGCGCAAACGAGGCGATGTAGCGTGGCCTGGCGCGCCAGGTGGGCCACTTGGGCCTTCAGAGGAAGGAGGAGGAGGAGGAGGAGGAGGAGGAGGAATGGTAGAGGAGGAGGGAGGGGGAGGAGGAGCAGGAGGGGGAGGGAGGCGGAGGGAGGAGGAGGGGAAATGGAGGAGGAGGAGGAGGAGGAGGAGGGAGACCAGTGTACACCCAAGAGTCACCAACAATGTTGGAGCAAACCCTCCCTCCAAGTTTCCTCATCATAGGCTCTACAACGGTTGATTTCCATTGAGGGAACTTCCTCGTTGGAAGACAACCGTTTGAAGACCCTGAAGCATGCCAAAACATTGTTCTCGGGATTTCAACGCCACGGGTGAGCTTGATTGACTGCTGCGTGTTGCATCTTGACGGTCCTGAATCGGGCCAGAAGGCCATCCCTGTGCTTTCAACGCGGCGAATCAACGTAAGTGTTGCGCCCGCATAGTCCTAAATCATTATTCGCAGTTTCTGGTACGCTGGTCATGGGAATCCGTGAAACTTTAGAATTGCTTAAAACGAATGTGCGTTAAGGCGAAAGCCGCGTTTTGAAAAGGAACCGCACTTCATCCGTGAAGTTTTTTGCACATGTTTGAAACTATTGTGCGCCGCGCTAAAGCGAGAGCCACATTTTTTAAACCGCCCGCCCTCAATCCGTGAAACCCTGGCAAATCTTGAAAACGAATGTGCGCGGCGCTCAGGCGAGAGCCACATTCTGAACACGGGTTATCCTCAATCCGTGGTTTTTTTTGCACATTTTGAAAACGAATGTACGCGGCGTTCAGGCGAGAACCACATGTTGGAAACGGTTTGTCCTGAATCCGTGAAACTCTTGCAAATTTTGAAACAGCGAATGTGCGCGGCGCTAAGGCGAGAGCCACATTTTCAAAACGGGTTATCCTCAACCCGTGGAGCTTTTTCAAAGCTTGAAAACGAATGTGCGCGGCGCTCAGGCGAGAGCCACATTCTGGAAACGGTTTGTCTTGAATCCGTGAAACTCTGGCAACGGTTCGAAACGACGCGGCGCTCAGGCGAGAGCCACATTTCGAAAGCCACCCGCCCTCAATCCGCGAAGCTGTTGCCAATTTCAAGCGAAACGCCCGGCTCGTCCTAAGAATTTGCTTCGGGGTGCGACAGGGAGAAATTATATAAAAAGGGATTGAATGAAAACCCATCACTTGCCGGGGTGCGGCGGGGACAGAAGTCCGCCCCAGCGGCCGTGGGGCGGGCGGGTGCCGAGGGGGTGTCCCGCTGTAGTGTCCCGCGATGGTATCCCGCGATGGTGTCCCGAAGGCGTCCCGTGGTGTCCCGTGGTGTCCCGTTGTGTCTCGATTGGTGCCCCGATGGTGTCTTGGTGGTGTGTTGATGGTTCGTTCCGCCACCAAAAAATTATTCGCATATATCTCCAATGGATTGTTCCTGGGCCTCAGGAGAGGGCGGCGGTGTATACAATTCCATTGAGGGCCAGCGACTATACACCGCCACCCTCCATGCAAAATTCGTCGGAGGGTGTCTGTGTGTACATTTTCGTGGCGTAGTGGTGTCCCGAGGTGTCCCGCCGTGGTGTCCCGATGGTGCCCCGAAGTGTCCCGTGGTGTCCCGTGGTGCCCCAAGGTGTCCCGCGGTGTTCCCTGGTGTTTCGCGATGGTGTTCCGTGGTGTCCCGTGGTTTCTCGCGGTGCCCCGCGGTGTCCCGCCGTGGTGTCCCGATGTTGTCTCGATGGTGTCCCGATGGTGTGTGTCCCGTGGTGTCCCGTAGTGCCCCGCGGTGTCCCGCAGGATCCCGTGGTCTCCCGTGGTCTCCCGTGAGATCGAACATGAGATCGATGGTGAGGCCAATCGTGAGATCGATCGTGAGATCGATAGTCAGATTAATCGTGGGATCGACGGTGGGATCGATCGTGGGACCGATCGTGAGATCGATAATGAGGTTGATAGCGTGATCGGTCGTGGGAATGGTAGTGCTATCGATTGTGAAATCGATCGTGGGATCGATCGTGAGATCGTTAGTGATGTCGATCGTGAGTTCGTCCGTGGGATCCATGGTGAGATCGGTGGTGAGATCTTGAATGATACTTGTTAGTGAGGTCGATTGTGAGTTCGATCGCGAGATCGATAGTGGGGTCCATAGTGAGCCATCGTGGTATCGGTTGTGTTATTGATCGTGAAAGCAATTGTGCGATCGATCGGTGTATCGATCGTGAGATCGATTTAGTAAGTCGTTGGTTTTCTTACCCCGAATTTTCTCATTACCCGGAAGGGTGGTCGTATAGATAAGGAATCCGCGGTTTGAACGCTGGTGAAATTTTAATCGCGGATCGGTCATGAATATCACCTCCGTCCTCATTAGATCTGGAATATTCGAGGGTCTGCAGCCTCATGGGTAAGTCCATTTACCAACGCTTCCCGCTGTATTCGGGTCTCCTCATGGCCTCGCACGCATTCGCACGCGAAATCCACCATCTAGTTTTCTACGACCCAGCGTTCCTGTTTGTTCCTTGTTGTGCAACGGGTAACACGGGTGGAAGGCGGTTCCTTTTTCGAAACGAGGTTCTCGCGTGAGGTTTCCGCGAAGCATGCATCCACGGCTCTGACACCCTGCAACGCTTAAACGGATGGAGGGGATGCTCTTCCCAGAGTGAGGCTATAGTTTGGTCTCCTTGAAGGGCTCTCGCATGGGACTTTCGCGACGCATACGTCCACGACTTTGACATCTTGCACCGCTTAGATCGATAGAAGGCATGTGTTTGTCAAGATGAGACTACCTTTGGGCGTCCTTCGAGTGCAAGGAGGATCCTTTACACCAGGCGCCTTCGTCAGAGTGGCGGACCGATCAGCCGCTCGTCGTTTAAACGGGGGCGCCCGCAGCGGTAAAGGACAACTTGTATGGACTTTGGTGTGGGGAGTTGGGACGGGAGGGTGTGGTGCAACGTCGGTTGATGCATCTTGGCTTTACTCTGGTGCCCCTCTTCCTCCTCTTCCTCCTCCTCCCCACCTGCCCATCCCACGCCGCGTGATCCAGTCGTCTCCCTGGTGGGTCTTCGAGCTCCCCAGCCGCATGCTCCCCTCCTCTACTCCTCCCTCCTCCTATCCATTCCATGGGAGATGGTGGGAGCACGCGGCTGGGGGGGTTGAAGCATCAACCAGAAACTGGGGCACGATCGCACAGCATTGGATGGGCTGGGGAAAGCGGAGGAGGGAGGGGAGGGAGGGGGAGGGAGGGAGGGAGGGAGGGAGGGAGGGAGGGAGGGAGGAGGAGGAGGAGGAGGAGGAGGAGGCGGAGGAGGAGGAGGAGGGGGAGGAGGAGGAGGAGGAGGAGGAGGAGGCGGAGGAGGAGGAGGAGGGGGAGGATAATAAGAATACGACTAATAATAATACGTATAATAATATTAAGAAGAAGAGCAATAATACGAAAACGAATCAGACGCTGAACAAGCATACTCATGCTAATAATAATAATATGAATACTAATGCGAATACTTAGAATAATCATAATAATACGAAGACGGATAATAATACGAAGAGTAATAATGATAATAAGAAGAATAATAATATTAAGAATACGAATGACAATAGGAATAATAAACATACGAATGTTAATACGAAGAATATTACGAATACTAATACTACGAAAAATATGAATGGTACTACTAATAAGAAACATAATAAGATGACGACGGAGAGCAACTACTAATACAAATACTACTAAGACGAACATGAATACGCATATTAAGAGTACTACGACGAGTCATACGACGAAGACGAACACTAATAATAGTATTACATAATTATAATTACAAAAATAATATTATTATTCATAATACTATAAAGAATTAGAATAAGTATACTACTAGAAAGAATACTAATAAGATTACTAATACTAATAGTAATACTAATAATACTATTAATGATATTAAACATAATAATACTAATAATAAGAATAATAATAATGATATTAATACCACTAATACTAATAATAATATTAATACGAAGAATAAGAACAATAATAATACGAAGGAGAATAATATTAATAATAATAATAATACTAATAATACTAAGAATAATATTACTAATAATAATAATAAGAATAATAATAATACTAATAATCATAATAATATTAATAATACTAATAAGAAAAGGAGAAGAGGAAGAAGACGAGGAGGAGGAGGAGGAGGAGAAGGAGGAGGAGGAGGACCGCATGAGGAGGAGGACCGGAGGAGGAGGAGGAGGAGGAGGAGGAGGCGGAGCAGGAGGAGGGAGGAGAGGAGGAGGAGGAGGAGGAGGAGGAGGAGGAGGAGGAGGAGGAGGAGGAGGGGAGGGAGGGGGAGGGAGGGAGGGGGGGGGAGGGAGGGAGTCAGGGAGGGAGGGAGGGAGGGGAGGGGAGGGGAGCGGAGGGGAGGGGAGGGAGGGGAGGGGAGGGGAGGGAGGGAGGGAGGGAGGAGGAGGAGAGAGGAGGACGAGGAGGAGGAGGAGGAGGACGACGAGGAGGAGGAGGAGGCGGGGGAGGGGGCGGGGGAGGAGCAGGACGCGCAGGTCAGCCTGGACGTGGTGTTCTTCGTGGGCCGCTGGTGGCTCTCGCCGCTCCTCCTGCTGCCGCTCGCCCTGATCTTCCCTCTGCTCACCGTCGTTAGGCGGTCGGGGCGTGGGGGGCAGTGGCCAGCATGCAGGAACGGGGTGCTTCTCCTCGCCGCCTGTTCTCCTCCTCCGTCTCCTCCTTTCTTTCCTCCTCCTCCTCCTCCTCCTCCTCCTCTCCTCCGTCTCCTCCTCCCCCTCCGTCTTCTCTCCTCCTCCTCCTTCCTCCTCCTCCTCCTCTTCCGTCTCTTCCCCTCCTCCTCCGCTTCCTCCTCCTCCCTCCTCCTCCCTCCTCTTCCCTCCTCTTCCCTCCTCGTCCTCCTCGTCCTCTCCTCCTCCTCCGTCTCCCTCTCCCCTCCTCCTCCCTTCCCTCCTCCTCCTGCTGCTTCTCCGCCCCCTCCTCCTGCTGCTCCTCCTCCTCCTCCTCCTCCTCCTCCTCTCCTTCGCCTTGTCCTGCTGGCGCACTTCAGCGAGCGTTTTTTGATGTTGTTGTTGCTTGCGGGGCAGTGGCCGGCATGGCGGATAATCGTGGAAGACGCATCGGCAGAGACGTATGCCTTCCGAGCTGCGCGCGCATTTCTTGGACCGGCGCTGGTCCCCCATGGCGTCGCCTCCTGCGCCGCCTCTGGCGCGCTCCGAGAAAACCGCGCGGTTTTCCGACAGTTTAATGTTTATGTCGTCTTATGTTCTTCTGAAGCAAGGAGGCCTGGAGGAAAGGTGTGCGCGAGATGTTTCGCCGTTCTCGGGCCTGCCTGGCTCTTCCCGGGCCCCAAGAAGATCGGGCACATTTGATATTAGAAGCTGGAGATTTCTGTTGATGGATACAGATCCGGCAAGAAGCTCCCAGATGACCTAACATTGTTGTTCGTGCAGGTCCGGGGTGGGCGCGAGGCAGGCTTGCGTTGTGGCGTTGCTCACGGGGACTGGTGTTCACAAGCGCGGCGGTTTTCGCAGGCTTCGTGGTGTTCGCAGGCGCAGCGGAGCTCGCGGCGTTGCGGTGCCCGTCCCAGAGGCTCTGCTGAGGTGATCGCGCGCCTTGTGGTGGTTTCCACACGAACTGTGGTGGTCATGGACGCGGCGGTGCTCGCAGGCGCTGCGGCGTTCGCACCCCGAGGTGCTCGCAAGCGCTGTGGTGTTCGTACGCACGGTGGTGGTCGCTAGTAATGCGGCTCTCGCAAGCAAACGTAGGGGTGCTCCTGGTGGACGAACCCAGTGCTTCCGCTTACACTCGGTTTTCCTCGAAACTGCCGACGGCACGGGCCTGGGAATGGGGCTGAGGGTACGGGAGGTCGCGGGAGTCAACATGTTTTGGAAGGCAGAATCTATCATTTCCGGGTTCGTGGGCTCAGGGAGATGTGACGCCTGGCGTTCTTGTTGTTGTGGTTGTGGTTGTGCAGGCCCTGCCGTTGTGCGCGGTCACGCAGGCTATTGTTGGAGTGGCGGGGCTCGGCTTGTCTCGCTGTGATGTGTGCAGGCGCGCCGCTTGTGCTCCAGCCGCGTCTCCCTCCGCTTGTCTTTTCTTCCTTCACCCTCCTCCTGTTTTGACGTTAGACTAACCTTAGCCGAGGGCTGTGGCGTACGTCTCCCTCCTCGTCCTCCTCTCGTCCACCTCCCTCGCCCCCTGCCTCGTCTTCACTTTTCCTCCTCTTCCCTCGTCCTCCTTCTCGCTTCTCCTTTTCCCCTCCTCTCTCCTCCTCCACGTCCACCCTCCACGTCTCCCTTGTCCCATCACCTGAGGCGCTCTGCCAACGTTGGCATGCGCATTCTGGTACTCGGGGTGCAGTCGTGGCACTATCCTGTCCGGCATGCTGTCGTGCACCCGCATGGTGGTTTCCAGGCCGTCGTGGTTCCGGCGGGGTCCGGCTCCCCTTGCCGCGCGGTGGCCGTAAGCGCCCTGTGCTGTCGCCAGGCACGTCGTGGTGCTCGCAGGCCACTGGTGCTCGCTGGCACGCCTGTGGTGACCCCAGGGCATGACTTGCAGTGTGGGGATATTGCAATGACGGCACGACACTGGCCGTCAGTCCACTCAACCAATTCAGCCAGTTCTGCAACTGCGTGCACCAGCGGAAGCCACACGTTCCTGGTGCGCGTCTGTATGCTTGCGCATGGTATTCGGGTAGCAAACGAACAATTGATCGACCCATGTACATCACATGGGCGCTGTGGTCCGGGTGCAACGAATTCAGGCAAGTCTGTAAATTGCAGGAATTTGGTGGTTTGGACATTCGTCTCATTGACGTTGCGTTTGGGCTACTAGTAGTTAACCTCTAGTTTACATGATTGTCGGCCTCGCCGATCATACCGTGGCGCTGGAAAACTATCTAATGGCCTTCGGCATATCCCGCCACTGTGCCTGGGATGTGGGCGTGAAGCGTATTAGATGTTCGTCGGGACCTCGTGGGAGGCTTCTCGGGGCCCTTTTGGAGGCCGTTTGGGCCTCTTGGGGGCCGTTTGGGGGTCT